TGGATAAATAAGCCTCTTCAAACAGTTGTGCTGGCTTGGTAAAGCAGGCTTGCAGCTGGAGCTGGCAGCCTGGTGGGATACGGGATGGAGCAACACCAACTGTGAGTTGCAGAATCACCTCTCTCCTGTCCCAGCAAGGTGAGCTTGGCATCGCTGCTGTCTCCTCCCCTGGGCCGAGCGCTGCTCTGGAAATTACTCGTCCCGTAGCATGTACTGAAAGCAACGCAGCTGGAGAGTCCAGCCGTTGGCACGGTCAGCGTGCTGGTCGGAGGATGGGTCCTTTTGGAGTGGGGAAAGCTGTGCTGCTGGCACATGCCCCTGCCTCTCCTCGGGAGCAGTCTGGGCAGCAAGCGCAGTGCCACGGGGCCGCGGAGCCCCCGCACCCTCAACCCTGTCCTGGTGACAGCTCTGCGGATGGCCTGCGGTACAAGTGCTGCGATCAGATTTTCTGGAGCTATGCAGGGTTAAATCTGCTTTACCTGGGGGAAGTAGTTTAAAAATTAAAATAGAATTGACCTCCTGATCCCAGCCTGCCATGAGAGGGGCTGTTTTCAGGCACGGGAAAAGAACAGCGTCTCCTTTTTGCACAGTCCAGCCAAGGCTCCAGCGATGCCTGCCCACACTCTGGGCTGGGAGCTCAGGTCCCAGAAATGTTGACTTTTTTTTTTTTTTTTTTTTTTTTTGACGAGCTGCTGGGCTCGTAGTGTTTGCTGTGACTGCTGCAGAACAAGTCCCTGCAGCATTGCTGGGCTGTCCCTGTGCCCTGCGTGTGGCTGCAGGATGCATTCATTGCTGAAAGCTGTCCAGCGTGCAGTGTGATCATCGCTGTGGGTGCCGTGGGGGGCTCCGCTCCCCCTTTCCTGCAGCCGCCTCTGTTGCTGCTGGACCTGAACCAGCGCAGCTCCCAGAGCTTCATCTCCAGGCGAGGAGATGCTGGTTAAGCAGAGGGCAATGGGATGCAGCCCTTCCTTCGCTGCCAGTCTCAGGGGGGACAAGCATCTGTCTATAGCAGCTCCCTGATGTTGCGAGTGCTTGAGGGGGGCTCAGTGTGGCAGGGACCCTGTGGGGCTGTGCTGACGCTGCAAGACCCTATGCAGAACTGCTTGCCCTTTCCTCCTGCCCTCTTGTTCTCTGGGGACAGGGGCGATGCCGCGGCTGCAGGGAGCAGCCAGGAGTGCCCGGAGCACAGCTGCTGCTCTCAGGGCTCACCACTGCTCCTACTCACAGCCGTGTGTCTGTCTGCACCCCGCGCAAGGGGGGGTGGCTGTCAGCATCGACGCTTGGATGCTGTGGCAGGGGCATTGCTGGGCAGCCTCCTGCTGTAAGCTCTTACCAGCTTAAAATGCCTTTTCCTGCGAGGGTAATTGGCAGCTGTGCTCAGCGCGGCATGTCCAGGGCTCTCAGCCCCTGGGAGAACGCCAGGGGCCTGGGGGCGCGGGTCAGAGGTGTAGGGGCTGTGTGCTGGCAGCGACCCCGGGGGGTGCCAGGCCGTGGGGGGCCGGGCGGGGGGAGATGTCGCTGACCCCGGTGACAGCGGGAGCACGGGATGAATGAAGGGGCTGTGCAGCGGCGTGTGGCCAGTGCGCATCTGCTGGCCACAGTGTCTCCTTTGTGCCGGCACTGGCTGTGCTCCCTGCCCTGCTCCCGGCTTTCTCCCCCGGCTAGTGGCAGCTCATTATGGGGATCAAAGATTTTAGTGGAAAATCAGAAGTGGCTGGAGTATTTGTTCCCCTTGAACTTCACCTCCCCACTGCACTTGCTTCTTTGGGTGCCCACAACCCTTCGTGCCCCTACCCCTGCATGATGTGAACCACACTCTGGCGGCTCAAATCCTTGTCTTGTCGCGGTCCCCGTCAGCCCAGGTCCCTGGCCAGGCTCCCAGGCAGCAGCACAGGATTTACCTCCAGAAGCCGATCTTGGCACCTCCGCTGTGTGCTGGTGCAGCGCTTGCTGACGGTGCACGTGGCAGGGGTTCCCGGCAGGGTGGCACCGTGCCCACGACCGATCGATGGCTGCAGCTTAAGTAACTATTTTTATTTTTCAGCGGTATTTTTTCTCCTATCATGGGTCTTGTCCTTGATGCTGTGAGCACGCATGTCTGCAGGGACCCTGGCTGCCTCCTGGCTCTGTGGTGGCAGGACGATGGAAGTGGTCTCTCCCCACGAGGACAGCGCAGAGCTGCAGGATCGGCTGTGAGCTCCACACCACCGTGGCAGCAAGAGACCTGCAAGTACAGAGCGGCTCTTTCAAGGTTTGATCTGGTTCCTATAGAAACTGGAGGTTGCTCCTGCCTGGTGCTGGTGCCAGCAGCCGGGGATGGGTGGGAGCGGGATACGGTGCTGTGCCGCGGTGCTGTTGCTGCCTTTCCATGTGCCTTGGTGCCCCCTCTGCTTCCTTGCTCCGCTCCTGCTCCTCGGCAGGGCTGTGCTGAGCCCTGCCGGGGCTCTGCATCCCCCTCCAGCCATGCAGGGCTCTCCGGACCCCACGGGACCCTGGGCTGGACGTGCTGCTCCTTGCCCCGGCAGGGCCCTTTGTGGGACAAGGGACTTGTCCCTCCACGTGTCAGGTTGCATAGCTGCAGCACGGTGCTGCTGGTGTTCCCGGCCATGTGGTCTCTGCGGTGATGCCTGTGCTCTTGCCCTCCTTGCCAAAAGTCACCACCGGAGAAGCCTGAAAACCTAAAAGGATGTCCTGGGGAGCACCTCTGCCCTGGGGGGGTCGATGCCCTGGGGGAAATAGCCCAGGGGCAGTGGGTCCCATTGGCTCCTGAGCCCCGAGGGTCTGGACTTCTCCCCGGCTGCCTGGCACTACAGGCTGTCCTGCCACGAGAAGGTGGCAGAGGTACTTGTGCCACTTGGTGGGCTCACATCTCCAAGGGAGGTCTCAGTCTCCCCCGGGTGCCGGAGCAGCTTCTCTCCTTTCCGGCAGCAATCGGCAGCAGGCTGTGGACCTGGTGAGACCCTCCGCCTCGCCCGCCAGCCCTTTGCAGCTTGTTCCGGAAGGATGATCGCAGCCCTCTGCAAACTACCTCATCCCCGGAGCAGGGGCCAAGCGTCAACCATGGCACAAATCCAGAGCAGCGTGGGGGAGCCCTGCGCTGCCGCCCTCCTCTGTGCCCCGCACCGGTGCCCAAACACGCAGCTTGGTGCTGCCCAGGCACCTGCCTGGGGCTGGCTCTGCCTGGGGGGGGGCGAAGGTGCCCCAAAGTGCCCCCATTGAGGACAAGCCCCACCGGGTGTGTTGTCCCCTTGCAGCACATGACAGCCAAGCAGCTCTGCTGAGCCAGAGCCCGTCCCCGGCCAAGCCGGCAGCAGGAGGCTTCTTCCCGCTGCCCTCCTGCTGCTGCCAGGTTTGTTCATCCTGGCAGCGTCCCGGCAGTGCTCCCGGGCAGGGCCAAGTGCCGGCGAGAGGAGCTGCGGGCTGGGCCCCGTGGCCTCCTTTCCACTGCTGCCTGAAGAGAGCAGGGATATTTTAGGAGAATGTGACAACACCACGCTCCTGTGTTTTCACCCCCCTTCCTACCTGCCCGCCGCAGGAGCGTAGCTCTGCTGGTGAGATGCCAGCTCCCACGGGACCTGCCTGGACGGGTTCAGTGGGGACGGCATGCGCTGCCTCCGTGTTGAGGAGCTGAACAGCCGTGTCCCCAGCACAGGATGCCGGTGCTGGGCTCCTGTGATGCCCGGGTGGGTGCTGAGGCTCCTGCCCCGGCGCTGCCCCCCTGCCCTGGCCGGTCAGTGCTGCGTGGCTGTGAGAGCCCGGAGCTGCTACAGGATGATGTGGCCTCATGCCGGCCGGAGGGGAAAGGGCCGAATCCTGCCCCGCCAGTGCGCTGCTCCTCAGTGACCTGGGGGGCTGAGGGCCCCCCATAGCGCAGCTGCAGAGGCCACCTGTGCCCCGAGCCTGGGGACTGCAGTTACTATGGCCAAGGCGCCGTGGGGACCCACTGGCCTTTGCCTGGGGAGGGGCTGTGGGGCCCCTGTTTTTTGGGGATGAGCTGGATTTGGCCCATGGGTCCCCATGGCACTGCCCACCCCACATCAGGCTCCTGAGGGGAGTTGCTGCTCTCCCAGCGTGGCGGAGGCAGGACCCGCTGCTGGCTGGGGGGTTGCTGAAGCTGGGGCAGCAGGGGCAAAGGCTGTCCCATGGCGTGTACCTGCAAAGAGTGGGGAGGGGATGTGGCAGAGCCGGTGCCCCTGGCCCCTTCTGCCTGCCAACAGCCCCCCACAAGCCCATCCGTGGCCCCACGGCACTGTGCTGGGGGTGGGATGGGGCACAGCGGGGGTGCTGCCAAACCCCTGCTTTGGGGATGGAGAGCAGGATGCTAGCCAGGGGCCACCCCCTCGCCCCTCAAAGGGGAGCAGGCCAGGGAGCGTGCTGCCCCCCCGGCTGTGCCAGCCCCCTGCTCCCCTGCCTTGTCCCTGCCGCCTGCCCTTGGGCTGGCATCCCGGGCAGGGGCCTGGCACGGCACAGAGGGGCTGGCTGGGGGCCGGGCCGCTCTCCCTCTCCCTCCTAGCAGCCGAGGAGTTAAAAACTCAGCCCTTGTGATGAATATTTAACAGCAGTGCACAGGCTGGAGCGGAGGATTTCTCCGGGCTGCCTGGGCGCTGGCAGCGCTGCCTCCCGCCCCAGCCCCACCGCCTGCCCGGGCGCACTGCGGAGGAGGACGGGGCGTCGCGGCGGGGGCGGCGGGCCCGCGCGGCCC